GCCTTTTTAAGTTAGTATTTGCATGCAATATGTCTCCCAACCTTTATTTTTAACCTACCTGTGTCTTTATAATCCACCGTAGAAAGCATGGTGCCTCTTGCTTCTTAATCCAACCTGACCATCTCTTCTAACAATTGGGAAATTTAACTATTTCCATTTAATGTAATTATTGATATGTTTGGATGTAAATTTACCATCTTGCTTTTTTTCCCTTTTTTTTCCTTCCTTTTTCCCCCCATCTGTTGTTTGCTACTCTTTCCTTCTGTTTCCTTCTTTTCTTTTGGATTAATTGAATTTTTTCTTTTCCTTTCTTTCTTTCTTTCTTTCGGATTAATTGAATTTTTTCTCTTTCTGTCTGTCCTTCCTTCCTTCCTTCCTTCCTTCCTTCCTTCCTTCCTTCCTTCCTTCCTTCCTTCCTTCCTTCCTTCTTCCTCCCTCCCTCCCTCCCTCCCTCCCTCCATGCTCAGCATGGAGCCCAATGCAGGGCTTGAACTCATGACCCTGAGATCAGGACCTGAGCTGAGATCAAGAGTCAGTTAATGACTGAGCCACCCAGGCACCCCTTGAGTATTTTTTGATTCTATTTTACCTCCTCTTGGCTTATTACCTATATCACATTGTTTCATTATTTTTAGTGATTCTAGAATCACAATATATATCTTCAACTTTTCAACTTCTACTTTCAAAGAATATTATATACTTAATATGCAGTATTAAGAGCCCTAAAATAGGGGCGCCTGGGTGGCTCAGTGGGTTAAGCGTCTGCCCTTCGGCTCAGGTCATGATCCCAAGGTCCTGGGATTGAGTCCTGCATTGGGCTCCCTCTCGGCGAGGAGCCTGCTTCTCCCTTTCCCTCTTTCTGCTGCTTCCCCTGCTTGTGCTCTCTCTCTCTCTCTCTCAAATAAATACATAAAATCTTAAAAAAAAAAAAAAAAAGCCTTAAAATATTGTACTCTGAGTTCCACCAATTGTGTAGTCGTCTATTATCCTCTTAAAAGACTTTTAAAATGAGAAGAGTCCTGGGGCGCCTGGGTGGCTCAGTCGTTAAGCGTCTGCCTTCGGCTCAGGTCATGATCCCAGGGTCCTGGGATCGAGTCCCACATCGGGCTCCCTGCTCTGCGGGAAGCCTGCTTCTCCCTCTCCCACTCCCCCTGCTTGTGTTCCCTCTCTCGCTGTGTCTCTCTCTGTCAAATAAATAAATAAAATCTTTAATTAAAAAAATTAAAAAATGAGAAAAGTTGTTCCCCTCCCTTCCCCCTATTATTGGGTTGGTGCTCTTCACTCCTGCATGTAGCTCCGTTCATCTGTGGCTGTTCTTCTGCCTCAGGGGCTGCCTTTAACATTTTTTGTAGTGTAGGGGAACTTCTGTTTGTCTGAAAGCTTGTCTTTTGCTTTCATTTTAAAAAGTTATTTTTGTTCAGAATTCTAGATTGTTGGTCATTTCTTTGCTGGCTTCCCTAGTTTCTGGTGGAAGCACGTTGTCATCCTTGTCTTTGCTCCTCTGTGCAGAAGGGATGTTTTCCTCTGCCTGCTTCTCAGATTTGTACTTCATCATTGATTTTCAGCCCTTTCACTGACGTGCCTTGGTATGGTTTGCTTTCTGTTTATTGTGCTTTGGTTTAGATGAGTTTTTAAGATATGCCAGTTTACAGTCTCATCAAATATGGGAAATTTTCAACAATTTCTTTATATAACCTTTTTTTCTGGGACACCATTACCCACATGTTAGACATCTTGACTTTTGTTTTAGGATTTTTTTTTTTTCCAGTCTTGTTTTTTGCTGTGCCTCATTTTGGATTTTTTATTGCTTCAGATTTATTGATACTCTGCTGCAAGGTATATTTTTCCTCTCTAGAAGTTCCATTCACTAATTTTTTACATCTTCACTTTCCTCGTCATGTTTATGTTTTCCTCTACTTTCTGACACATACGGAGTTTATAATCACCAGTTTCAGATTCTTGTCCATTGGTTGCATCATTTTTGTTGTTTTGGGGTTTCTATTAATTGATTTCCCTCATGGTTATGTGTTCTATTTTTCTTCTTGGTTTTGTCACTGGATGCTGGACTTTGCGTATTTTACATTGTTGAGTGCTAGATCTTGTATTCTTTTCACCTGTGTCGGACTTGGACAGAACATAATACCTGAAATTTGTGTAAGATGAGTACCAGAAGGTGACACATTTAAGGATTTACGATGTAGTCCTCATGCGCGATTTTAGAAGGCCTCGCTCCATCCCCTGTCACCAGGACATGTCACTGCCCAGGCTCCTGTTGCGCTCTGTGTCTGTGCTGTGTGTCGGGTGGCGTCCTTGGTGCCCTGTGCAGCGGTGAGCGGGACACGCAGGTCCTGCTCTCGGGGAACCGGTCTTCCCGTGATGAAGGCAGGTAAAAAATGAAACAGCAAAAGCCAGAAGAGAAAACAAGGGAAACACGGGGATTTCCAGTAGCAGTTTGTGGTGTAAAAGATTAACTGGGGTGATTAAGCTCGGGGCATGGGCCCCCACGCCGGTAATTTGAACGGGGACACTTGCGTCGAGAACCGACTGTTAGCTAGTAACAGGGCAACTACGCAGATCTGGGACGGGAACGCCGGAGGGTCCAGCGTGGTGCGCCCAGGGAGCAGCCGCTCTCAGGCAGAGGCGGCTCGGAGAGAGGACTCCGGGCGGGGCACCCTTGGGAGAGGCCCTCCGGGTAGCAGGGCAGCTGCTGGGAAGCCGCAGGCCGGTCCGACAGGCTGTCACGGGAGGGGGCGGCCCAGTCCCCCTCCAGCCTCTGAGCCTCCGCAGTGGCCCTCCCGCGCCCCCTGCTGGCAGGGCGCCCTCACAGCGCCACTGACCGAGGAGCGGCGTCCGCGGGTGCTGCCCTGGCACAGCAGGGCAGAGAAGGGGGGTTGGAGCAGGGAGGCGGCAACTGTACCTGGCTCTACCCGCCCCTGCTGAGGCGTGACTGATAGAACTCTGCCAGTCTGTCAGGCCTTTCACAGACTGAGTGGGTAGCGCTCTAGGCAAAGACTCCAGTGCAGTGAAAGAAAAGCAAAAACGAGTCCTGGGGAACCGTGAAGACCTAAGAGAGTGAGAGTCTGTTTCTAAGCGCAATGGAAGGTTCTGTGCAGGGGAGCGACGGGGTCTCTCTCACTTCAACCACCGCTCTGGCTGCTGCTTGCGGAAGGGCCGTGGGTGGGGGTGGCAGCGGGCCGCAGAGAGCCGCCTGTCGGCAGGCAGAGGTGACGGCGGCTTGGACCGCTTGGGGGCAGTGGAGGGAGACGCAGGAGCGGATGGTGCATCTGCTGAGCACTGGAGTCGCCCGGTAGCCTTGCTGTCGGATTTGAGGGGGAGGAGGAGAGAGGAAGCCTCCTTCGTGCGGTGCACTGACCTGCTGCTCTTGGGGGACGGCCTGATTCTGCCAGCACTGTCGTCAGACACGTTGAGCCTTTCTAGTCACCGTGGGCATTAGAATCGTCTCATTTTCAGGTTCTCCCGTCTGATCTGTCGAAAACCCCAGAGTCTCCCCTCTCTCAGAGCGTCTCCCCTCGGTGTCCACCAGGGCCCTCGGGGATCACCACGGCCATGTCATGGGGGTGGGAGGCAGTGGTGCCTGTCCTGCTTCCTTGGCCTTCCCTGCTCTGCCCGGGGGAAGAAGGGGCTCTGGGCAAGAGGGGTTGGGGGGTCTCCATTCTTTACAGGCTGTCTGTGGTTCTCTTTGGTGACCAGGGCCCGGGGTCCTTATAGGTGTCCCACTGGTGAGTGGCTCTTGCTTGTAAGGGGCCCTTTTTTAGGGTTTCCTAGACTTTGGTCCGGACTCCTCACTCTCTGTTGCGGACTCTCTGTGACACCCCCCCCCCCCCCCACCGCACCCCTGCTCTGCCGCCTGGGATAATTCTGGGACCCACTCACCTAGCCGGAACTCTCTTGGGTGGGGTTCTTTGATGACGCAAGCCCCCGCCCTTGGAGCTGACTGGGACCTGGCCTATCACGTGATGGAGGCTGGCTCTCTGCTGCTCCCTCCCGTGTCCGCGTGCCGAACTCCAAGGGGCACACGACAGGCCCAGTTTTCCTGTGCTTCATCCAGTAGCAAGCTGGGGCGGTGCCACAGTGTCTGACCGCCCTGAGCAAGCACCCGGCAGACACCACAGCCTCCGAGGGCTTGTCTCGGTTCTCTTCGCCTGTATGCACTCCCCCCACGGGCCCCTCCCATGGCTCTGCCGTTCTCCTTAGGTTGGTGAGGTGAAGGCTGTGGGGCTGGCTGCCCTGTTAGTGCCCTTTCTTCACCGTGGGGATCATCCACTCTAGGACTGGAACCCACGTGTCCCTATTGTAATAGAATCCCTCTCAAGTCCTGTCACTGAGGGACAAGGCGCCAGCTGGGTGAGTGTGGGGTCGTGTCCCAAGACAGGAGAAACTGAGGCCAGAGGGGGGTTGGGTGGGGGGCAAAGGTTGTATTTATGTTCCCTCTAATGGCTGTTGGTGGAACCTTCTAGGGGCTGTTGGGTTCCAGGCATGACGGTTGGAGCCTGCTTCATCCTGCCGTCTTTGCCCAGAACGTTCTCCTTCTCCAGCCTCAGCACAGCTGTGGGGTTCCACGGGACCCAGAGGCCTCTGCTCCCTCCCCACCACTTCCTGCTGGGCTTGCAGTGGCCGCTAGCTTTGCACTAAGCGCCATCCCGGGCAAGTGTGGGGCATCACCTGGAAGAGGTGCCCACTGCGCTGGTCGTTGCATGTGCTGATTAGGACGCTGAGAGTGGAGCTGCTCTTTTCTAAAGCATGAAAGAAATTTATTGCCGGTCTTCATGAGATTATGGTAGAACCCTCCAAAGGTAATAAACAATTGGTTGCAAACAAAATTCTTGGGTGTCAGAGAGAAAGTTACCCAGATGATGTCATTGGAGATCTTGTCAGTGTCTAAGTTTAAATTTGTTTCTAAAAGGCATTTTTCTGACACGTTAATAACAAATTTGTACCATGAACGTTTGAACACAGTCTATTCTGTTCTCTTTTTAAAGCAGGGCCAAGACTTTCTTCTTCACTCCCCTCTTGGTGGGTCCCAGCCAGAGGCAGGCGGCGGGAGGCTAGCCCTCGGCGCGCAGACGCTGCCCTCGGCGGGGCTGGGCACTGCCCCCTCGGACGCCGCGTGCGCCTGCGAGGCCTGCAGCGAGCGCAGGTACCAGGGCGCGCCCGCGGGACAGACCCGCGCCAGAGCTGTAACGGGAAAGGGGCCGTTTGCAGAAAGACGGCAGGTGTTTGAGCGATTCCTGAGGACTGAGACGGGAGCCTGGGTGTCAGGCAGAAGACCCGGATGGCTGAGGCTCTCCCGCGTCCCTGTCTGTGAGGGCTGACGGGAGCAAGCTAGTACTCGGAAAGAGGGAGGAGGCAGAGCGAAGTCAGTAGGTAGAGGGGGAGCCGCCCTCCCCTGGGAGGCTGGGCAAGCTGGCAGTGCAGCCGCTGCAGGGCAGAGGGGGGAGAGGCCAGGACTTGGGGGCTCTGAACCAGCTCTGCGCTCAGCTCAAGATGGAGGCCAGTGCAGCCGAGTGGGGAGCAGGGGCTTCGTGGGGAGTGAGAGCTGCCTGATGGGCACCTTGAGATGGAGGGGAGCATCAGCGTTCTCGACGTGGGACGCCAGGTGTGTGCACTCCTCTTGTGCGAGGAGGGGCATAGTCCCCTGGGGACGGGGGTTTGGGGAGCCCGCCAGCTGCGGGCACCTGAAGCGCGTGCTGGTCCGCAGGCCTCCCTGCGGCCACAGCCGGTGGGAGCCAGCTCCCGGAGCTGAGCAAGGTGGGGGGTGCGCTGGGAGTCCGTCCCCGTCCCCTTGGGCTGTCTGCGGGGTGAAGGGTGACCCAGACTGTCCACTAACTCTGACCCCCTTACTCTTGTGCTGTCTCACAGAGAGATTTCGGCAGAGACGGACCGGGAACCTCAGCAGCTGCAGAACTGTTGGTCGGAAGTGCGCTACATGGTCCGCTGCATTTACCGCCAGGCGGGGACCCCGCTGGCCGACGACCAAGACCAGAGTCTCGTGCCCGACAAGGAGGGGGTGAAGGAGCTCGTGGATAGGTACACGTTGCCCCCTGTGTCATGTCCCTCCCCCAGCTGCTGCCCAGGAAGCCTCCCCTCTGCTCGGGTGGGCTCCTCTTTCAGGACCCAGTAAGCCCGGGCTGCTCTTGCTCAGCCCCTCGTGTCCCGCCAGTCTTGAGCAGACCGACTGCCAGAAGCAAGCCCTCTGAAATGCTTACTGCCTGTATAATAAAAAAATGAATCGACATGTTTCTGTCATTTCTTAGTGTTGAGACTGACCGTAGCACTACTTTCTGAGTACCTACTGTGCCAGGGCTGGTGCTGAGCACTTTCGCAAGCACTCTTGCATGTAACCGGCCCAGGAGGACAGGCAGTTATCCCACTCTTGAGGTGGAGGAAGCTTCCGTGAGGTCAGGCAGTTTGAGAACGCGCCGGGGCGGGAGTGGAGAGCCCACTGTAGCCAGGCCTGTCCGAGTGGGCGTTTCTCAGATGGGAGTAGCTGACAACTCAGCGTCTGTTCTTCAGCAGACACCTTGTGCCCCGTGACAGTATGGAATTTGAGGTGGGCAAAGTTTTTATTCTCCCTTATGGTTTGTAGCATCTTTTTTCTCTTTTTTGAAATGTTCCAAATAAAAGGGGTAAATTTGAGATAGAAATTTCATGGATTGATTCTGCTTTTGGTTTCTTTTTCTCACATTTTGAATGGGGCTTTTATCGACTTATTTGCTGTACAGTACAGTTTATCCTGGAGCTAGGAATAGTGCTTGGCCGTGGGTTCTGTTAACTAGTGGATGAATCCAGCCAGTGTGTCTAGGGCTTGACCTGTGAACCCCTAGCATTGCAGGACATGGCTCCGGGTGGTGTGTGCCCTTCCAGAAGTTAGGTTTCCTCATGAATATGAGAAGACATAGGACCTGCTGTTCAGGCACATGACTTCATAGACTGCCAGTGCTCGGGATGTGGCTGGAGTCGAATGAGAGGCAGCTGAAGGAAAACACTTGGCAGGTACTAATACCGGTGAGAGATGTTATGGCGGAGAGTATAAAGCTGGTAACGGGAATTCCTGAGGTTTGGGACACGGCATTGCCCTTATAGTGAGATATAATGTTAGGAATGTGGAAATATCACACCCCCAGCTGGAAGTATGTCTATACTTGCCCTCATCCTTGTCTCCAAGAGCGCGGCTGCTTTTGTTGTTTACATGCCGATACACATCAGGAGAGGGATGTTTGTAAAGCCCATTTCTGGAAGTCTGCACGACTGGTGATGATAATCCTTTCCTCCTCTCTCTGGCCCTTGGCGTCCTTCATGGTCCTGCTCTGCGCAGCCCGCAGACCATTCTTCACTGCGTTCCAGCTGTGCTGGCTCCCATCCTTCCTCTGCTTGTCACACTCGCTCCTGCCGCAGGGCCTTTGTATTTGCTCTTCTCTCTGTCTGCCGTGTTCTTTCTTTCCCAGGGTTGTTTTTTCCTCCCATCCATTGTTCACATTACTTTTCAGAGTCCCCTTCGTAAAGAGGCCACCCTATGTAAGACTCCAGGCACCTTCCTGCCATCACTCTTATCCCCTTGTCTTCTTTTTTATTATATTCCTGCCATTACCCAGAATTCCATCATCTGTGTGCATGTGCCGTAAGCGTCGTGAGGGCAGAGAGTTTATTCCCTTGGCTTCTTCACTGCTGAGGCCTTGGTACCTCACAGTAGCCTTCAGCGCACGTACGCCGGTGTTTGTTGAGTGTATGTGTGGATGAGCCACCACCGTGTCTTCGGCATACTCCTGCCTCTTGGTCGTACAGCCTTAAAAAAACCTACTTGCGGAAGGACCACATGGCCATTTCGTTGAATTTCTAAGGTACAGAGATGGACAAAGAAATAAAATGGATGTTTAATTCGCCATGCTAAGAGGCATCCAGTTTACTTGTAAGTTTGGTTGTTCCTCTGTCATTTGAGTCTTCTGTGGCATTCCTTTAACAGATGAAATACATTCTGTTTCACAGAACAGTTGTACTGGTAATTAAAACTGTGATTGCTACACTAAAAAACTAATACACCTTTCTGAAATGTGCTGACCCCAGTGAGAATCCCATCGGTTTTTATTGTTTCTCTAGCCACATTTTGTGCAAGGCTTCCCATGCTCCATTGCTGGGTTTTTCTTGCCTCTTGTCTTTATAACTTAGGTGGTGCACTAATTTAAAACTGGAATAGATGGCAACTTACATTCCTCTCTTTTGACCAAATGTGGTGCCCAGAAGGTAAAAGGATCCATTATGTAAAATCCAGGAACTGTAGCTTGGTACGTTTTACAGCTCGTGTCTAATAAAGTGCTGGCCTCAGGTGCTTCCTCCTGCTGGTGGTTCGCAGACAGATGCTGCTGTCACCCCGGTGGTCCTGGGTTTCCGCCTGCAGCCTCCTCAGAAGTGCACAGTTAGAAGAAGCGGCCACTTTAGTAGATTGTCTCCAAATTAGGAAAGAAATTCATAAAAATGTTAACTGCTGTTGTGGCCCAGTGGAAAGGCACATACTAATTTTTCCCTTCTCTTTTTTTGTGAGATAACTTAAAAAGAGACATTGATTCTACAGTTTCCTCTGAGTATAAAAATAATAAAAGCCCCTTTGGATTATATACTGAATTCCTAGAAAGAAGGGCAGAACAGTCTGCTCTAGAGTCCTCCAAGCCAGGTATCACCTCTGCTGGGTTGGTTGCTTTTCACCTAACACACGGGCATTGAAAATTAATTGTCTTCAGTCTCCCGAGAGAAAGCGCATCCCTCCCAAGACAGCCGCGGAGGTGCTGGCTGGTGTGCACGCTCTGCCACGTGCTGGGTGTGTGAGTTCCCAGCATTTTACCCAGCCCGTGTGGACTTCGGTGTTTAGCTGAGTGATTGACTCAGTGATTAACTGGGTCAGTCCACGTGAGAGACGGTGCTAGTGCAGAGTAAGTTTTGAGTAAATACTGGGGTTTTTTGTCAGCTGATGACTTTGTGGTTCTCGGCGCTCTGTGTGCCTGGGCCCTTCTGTGTCGAGTGGGGTGATGGCACCTCTCACAGGGCGTTCAGAAGATGGTGGTGTTGCCATCGCTGGGTGGGCGCCCGTGGAAAGGCTGCAGAACGTGGCTCGCCGACAGCGGTTCCATGGAGGGCCCTGTGTGGACGGGTCACGGGTGACTGGTGACTCTCTCTTCTCTGTGCAGGCTCTGTGAGAGGGACCCTTACCAGCTGTACCAGCGGTTGGAACAACAAGCCAGAGAGTATGTACTGGAGATGAAAGTCCGACTCCTCCGGCAGCTGTCGGCTGCATCCAAAGTGAAAGCGCCGTCCGCCCTGCAGGGCCCTCCACAGGCACACCAGTTCATCTCTCTCCTTCTCGAGGAGTATGGCGCCCTCTGCCAGGCAGCACGCACCATCAGCACCTTCCTTGGCACGCTGGTAAGGGAGAAGGCTGCCTTTCTCTGGTTCTGCTGGGAAGAACTAAGAGGACGACTGTGGTCGGGTCAAGTTGTCGTGCGGCTTGTGTGTTGATCTCGTGCGCCGCCACAGGCCCCCGCTTTGCGGTGTTCAGGCACCGAGGAGAGAACCTGATTCCTCTCCCCTTTCTCTTCTCTCTGGACTTCGCTGTGGGATGAAAGTGTTGCGTGGATTGATATCATGGAAATACAGTTTGGAGACCTTGAGGCCTAGGGAGCAGGAGATGGGGACAATATGAGGTGAGGACCAGTGTGTGCGTTAATAGGGAGAAGAAGGAGAAATGGTTTCTGTCTTAAGCGGTTAACTCGTTGTCAGTGTGCGCACGCAGAGCATGACTCTTGTAGAGAGCACTTGCCTCCAGTCCCGTGGCTTTCAGTCATCGATTCCACAATCCATCCCTGGGTTAAGGATGGGTTCACAGAGTCCGATAAGAACCCACCCCCACCCCCATCCCCGTCTGGTGGTCCTAACGAAGGAGACAAGCAGGTGTGTTCTTATGGGTCTCTGACCACCTCACAAGGTAAATTAGCCCACGTGGGTAGAAGGAGGCATGTGGTAGAATCACAGCTACTGGAATCCAGCCAAGCTGGGCATCAGAAGCTTCAGTCAGCCCTATCAGCCGATGCAACTGCTGGTTGCAGGGAGACCATGCTACCCGAGAAACCAGTCATTCATGCTTTCCAGATTGTTAGGAAAATACCACTTTGCTGATAGTCTGTGGACTTGTTTGCCATTACCTAAATTGTGTTATTAAATGATACTTCATTGGGCTAGTTTCGGGTACTTTCTTACTGGTAAAACTACATTTTGAAACAAATACAGTACCAGTAGTTCCTAAGATTTTAAATGTAATGGTCTTAATGTGATCCTAAAGTTGATAGACCTTCTCGCCAGGAAAATTTACAGACACGCAATTTTGCAAGTAATTTCGGCGGGGGGTGGGGTTCATGGACTTCCTCAGGCATCCCTGCAGTAGACCTTGCCATGCCGGTAAGGGACTCCCGACAGCCTTGAGGAAAGCACGCATTGTGAGAAAAGGAGCCGCTGAGTTGGGAGGGACAGCTGTCTCTGCTTTAAGGTGAGATTGTGTGATTGAATGCCCGTGCCCCGAGCAGGGCCAGGCGGGCCTCCGGTGCCTCACTCCTTCATGCCACATCTCACGCAGCTCTCCCTCTTCCGCCTCAACTTACCGAAAGTACCTGCTCTTCAGAAGTTCACATCCAGCGCCACCTCCTCTGGGACGGCACTCTTGGACCTTCCCAAGTCTGCCGGGAGAGGAGTCGGCCAAGGTGAAGAGTGTCTCCCGGCTGGCCGAACCTCATGCGGAGCAGTGAAGAGCGCGACGGCAGTGTCCCAGGCGGCGCATCTGCCCAGGTCCTCCTCAGGCAGTTAGAGTGGAACACGGTTTTTGAAGCAAACAGAAATTGATTTTGACCCTGCTTATTGGAGCAAATTCCTAGCAATTTACGTAGAAATAATTTTCTCGTGGTTTGGAAAAAACTCGTAAACACTAAGAACAAAATATAATTGTTTGTTCAGTGATTTATGTCACTTGCATTGTACACAGAGGTACTCAGTTTGGTTTCCAGTGGTACAGCAGATGGGACGCCCTGAACTCCTCCTCCCTTCTTGGGAAATTACTGGGTAACATAAACTGAATCTAGATAAAGCCTTTTACAACACATTGCTGAGATGGCATGAAAGGCAAGAAGCCTCAGGGGTGAAAAACAAACTGAAAGCTGGAATCCGGAGAAATTCGTGTGCTCTAAAGCCAACATTCACTCCAAGAACTTCTCATCCCAGGAGACAGGAGGTACAGCCTAAGTCCCACCCCGGTGGCGTCGGCACAGGGTGCTGGGCCCACAGATGGCCACCTCCTCAGTGTGAGAGTGAAGGAGAGGCCCTTACCCTGGAGGGACAGCAAGGGTATGTGCCCGTTGTGATTTTGGGGCAGGCGGAGGCGAAGTACAGCCTCCCAGAAATTTTGTCATTATGGGCCAACTGCCACCTAGGTTTGTGGTCTCAACAAGTGCTATTGGTGGGACGTGAAAAACTCCCAAGCCCGCAAGTTACTTCACAGCGCTCAAGACAGTCAGTCGGTCAGGCAACACACAGATGGTGGGCTTGGCATCATCTTAGGTAACCACAGTACCCTGTCAGGTCACAAAAGCTAACCATAATTTCTTATTTTTATACCCAGTCTGTATAAAAGTTTCCCAGTTACCTTAAAAATCTCTTTTATCGGGCGCCTGGGTGGCTCAGTTGGTTAGGCGACTGCCTTCGGCTCAGGTCATGATCCTGGAGTCACAGGATCGAGTCCCGCATCGGGCTCCCTGCTCAGCAGGGAGTCTGCCTCTCTCTCTGACCCTCCTCCCTCTCCTGCTCTCTGTCTCTCATTCTCTCTCTCTCAAATAAATAAATAAAATCTTTAAAAAAAAAAATCTCTTTTATCGTTGGAGTGTTCTCACCAAGATCCAACAAGGTTCACGAAGTTGTAACAACATCCTTTCAGGCCCACCCAGTGATCTGTGTGGTACAAAGAATGAACAGAGCTAAGTTAAGATACAGTTAAAAGTCAGTATCTCAAGGTAGTAGTTCTCAACATTTTTGGACTTGGGGGCCCTTTAAACTTAGAAACTGAGGACTCTGAAGGGTTTTTTTGTGTGTGGATTTTATCTATCAATATTTGCTGTGTTGAAATTAAAAGAGAAATTTAAAACTTAAATACTTTAAAAACAATGATCCCATTACGTAACATAAATAGCACATATTTTTAAATAAAAAAACTATTTTCTTTTTTTTTTTTTTAAGATTTTATTTATTTGAGAGAGAGAGAGAAAGCAAGTGAGAGCACAAGCAGGGGGAGTGGGAGAGGGAGAAGCAGGCTTCCTGCGGAGCGGGGAGCCCGATGCGGGGCTCGATCCCAGGACCCCGGGACCATGACCTGAGCCGAAGGCAGACGCTTAACGACTGAGCCACCCAGGTGTCCCAAAAAAGAACTATTTTCCAAAACATATTTAGTAACAAGAGGGGCATTTTTGCAAATCTTTACATTTTTGCAAATCTTTACATTTTTGCAAATCTCGCTAGTTTCCGGCTCAATAGAGGACACATAGCTTCTCAGCTACTTCTGCACTCACGCTGTTGTCATAGGTTGCTTTGGCTGAAGTTACTGAAGAAAATTCTGCCTCACCTCAGTAACCTTTTCAGCCATTCTGTGAGAGTACACCAGAGCCTGAGTGCTTCTTAAAACAGCGGGTGGCAGTGCAGGATCTGCAAGCGTGTCGCTGAGCTGCCTGCACTCTGTTCCAGCAGAACCAGCGGTGTAGCCCACCATTGAGTGCATCTGCCCACATGTGGTTTTCTAGCATCATGTGTTGGTCATTTGGAGTATGCCGGCTCACCGAGTAATTTAGTGCAGATCTTCCTGATGATATTCAGTATAAAAAAATGACCTTTGTCACTGTCACCACTGATCCTCATCGGAACAGAGAAGCCTCAGGGCCACAGTGGCAGATTCAAGTTTTCCAGAATTCAAATTTTTGCTTAAAAGCTCAGATTTTATGATTGGCCACAAATCAGGTCCGTTGTTTTCCTTAAAGCAGCAAATTGGCTTGCTGCACAAACCCTGCCTGCTAATTCTCTGCCTCCTCATCCGCTTCTCTTCTTTTCTGACTCTGCAGAACCCGTGGAGTACATTTAGACATAGGAAGGTATCTTTAAAAACATGACTTTCACGGGAAATGCACTTGTGGGTTTATTGTACACTGCCCTGGGGATCAAACAGGATGATAGGGTCACATTTTAAAAATGTATTTTAAGTATTAAAATAGAATTGGGACTACACCTAGCTTGTGCTTCCCACCGTCTGGGAAATGCCCTGCCAGGGCTGCAGTAATCATGAAATCTGCATTTCCACCCATAAGGACAGAAGCATCTTGAATATCCTGGTTATTTCGCAAGGTGTGTTCTAGAACTTGATTGTAAACACCTCCTCTTTCTCCTTCCAGACCCCCAAAAACCTTTTTGCGGTTGAATATAAGGAGTAAAACTAGTTTGGATAGAAAAGCCTAAGCTTGAGTCATTGGTGAGCTTGTTATCCGTGTCTCCTGCTCAGGCAGCACTGAGTCTCAGCCATGCTCTCACGTGGGCACCACCTCTCCCGGCAGCCATGAGTGCACGTCCCCCCGCCCCCGCAAACCCCTGTCCCCACGGCCCTGGGCCCATCGTTCAGCCTCTGTAGGCTGTTTCTGGCCTGTGAATGGGTCCTGGAGCACCCAGTTCAGGGTTGTCGAGGGCACTAATGAGATGACCATTGCGAGCACAAAGAACAGTGCCTGGCCTGCAGGGAGCACTTTGTTGCTAATGCACGTTGTTTTCCCAAGTTGATTTTAGGCTGGGAAATGAGTTTGGGGTCTGCTGTTTCTCTCGCATGCCTCATTTGGAAGTATGATTTCAGATTTCATTAAAAAATGTTGAACATCTTCCTAAGTCAACCTTCACCGAGTTACCTGTAGTAACATGACCCCCAAAAGCCAGAGCTATGTCCCACCCCCGCAAGTAGGCAGGCAGGCAGGGACCATGCACTCGGCCCCAAAGGCTTATGGGGGAGCCCAGGCAAGCCCTCAGCTCTCCCGAGCCACTTCCCCAGAACCCTCCCTCAGCTGGTGGGGGGTACTGGTCTGACTGCTGCTTTAGCTCCTGCATCTTCTTTGTTGTAGAGACAAATCATAAATTGGATCACTGCCTACTCCTCTGTCCCCTGGTGACTCCTGGAGAGCAGGGGCCTACTGGCTTCGTCTTTGTGTCCCTGTACCTGGCCCAGTGCCTGCGCAGAGTGGTCTGTGCTGATGTCTGTGACACATGACGTGTTCAACATGTTGTCTGTGGCCACGTCCTTAGTACATTCTTCAGCAAGGTTCTCATTCCAGAAATCGGGTGGAGTTTAGCAGCTCCCTGGCCAGCTTTCCTGTATCGAGTCATGGCAGTGAGAGGTGCTGAAGTGCACATGTGGGGGAGTGAGAGCAAGCTCTGGAAACGTGGGCAGAACGGAGGGTTTGAGGTTCTCTGCAGGTGCCGCAGGTTCCTTTCGGGGCCTCTGTCTGTCTGCAGGGCGTGAGCAGAGGCCTGCGGGCGGCAGGGCTGGCATCCATTTGTGCTGAGTGGTGCCGCCAGCGTGCCTTCAGCTCTGTCTTCCTGGTCGTGCTCAGGGACAGGGAATGCTCATTTTAACTCCTCTCTCAGCCCCCATGCCACCAGGTATCAGGCAAAACAGTGGAGTCTTCGTGTGTAGATTGTTTGCTAACGTCTGCAGGTGCGATTGTGTGGATTCACTTGGGCTAAATTATAAAAGTAGTCACCATGAGTAATCCATTGCATGGAGTATTGCTACCTAATGTTAAGCAATTCCTCCGGTTGTCAGTGGTTTAAGGAAGGAACACGTACCCAAGGATGTAAGATGATTGAAACACAGGGAGCCCTACAGCACCGCGTAGCTTATAGGCGGACGTGTGGAGTCCCACACGCACATGCTTGTGGCAAGATCTGTGCTTAGGAAAGGTACCCTCTCTATCCTGGTCACCTTGTATTGAGGGCAAATGGGTGTTCCTTTTGATGTCACTCTCTGTGATGGCCAGGACAGTCCCAAATGTTTACAAGCTATCTAAAGTAACTGATGAGTTTGCCATTGTGTATTAGGGAGAGGGAAGACCTGACCTTTCCTGGCATATTGCCAGTGGAGAAATTATTTGCATCTGCCAGAATGGGAGATTTCTCAAGATAGGCAAGAAAATGACTGCCCTTTGACATCAGAGATTTGTATGCGTTTAAACTGTTTGAAGAGTAGGGCTTTCAGTGCATTTTGGAAGCATAGTGTAAGGAATGACCATCAAACCCGTGCGTTTGTTTCTCTCTCTCTGTCGCTTCGTCTGTGTGTGTCTTACCCCCTTTCTGTGTGTGAGGGATTTAGAAGGGAGGAGAGGTGGGGTCCCGTGTGCGTGTGGCCAGAGGTCTGCATCAGGGTGTCTTCTGGAAGTACCGGGAGCGGCGACCCCTTGTCCGCAGAATGTTCTGGGCCTGCAGAGAGGGATGGAGCGGGCGGATCCTTTTGGGGAGTTTTTAGTCTTCGTCAGTTCAGTACATCTTCCATTTATTTATTTATGTTTTTAATTAGGAAAACGAACACTTGAAAAAGTTCCAGGTGACATGGGAACTGCATAATAAGCATCTGTTTGAAAATCTGGTCTTTTCGGAGCCGCTTCTCCAGAGCAACTTGCCAGCACTCCTGTCGCAGATCAGGTACGTGGTCTTCGTCTGCGTATGTGTCCGTGGTGTGACGGCGCGGTCCTCCTGCCCGTGGGGTCGCGTGTGTGTGTCGGATCCCCACCGCAGCCTGGGGGTTCCTGCTCAGGGAACGGTATCGCTTGGGCGGAAGCTCAGAATCCCCAGGGTGTACTGCACTGAAACTTTAACAAACTCAGTAGTAATGTCACTAAGATTTAACACCACAGATTCCTTGTGAATAAGGACAAGCTGTGGTAAACATAGAGTTCTACTTTGACGAGACTCAGGCTTGGCCCGACGGCTGCAGCACTCAGGTTTGCAGGGGAGACGGGGGGGGGTGTCGGAGGAGCGGGGACGGCTCCAGAACGGGCCTGACGGTGCCACGGGGGCTCCTGGGCACGGAGCGCAGGGACTTGTGTCTCTCAAACTTGCCCTCAGTGCCCCTTTTCGTGCTTGGTCGCTTCTTAGTGGTGCGGAGTATCCCTGGGGCTTCCGCACGTGTGCCAGGGTGGAGGACACCCGGCTGGGAGTGGGCTGACTCCGACACGACTCCGCTGGGAGGAGGCTCCTTGGGTGTTTGGTCGCCGTGTGCCACTGAGCCAGGTGCCCGCTTCCACGGTTCTGCCTCGTGGTGCTTCTGTCCCTGTGGACTTAGTGTGGGAACAGAGTCCGGTACTAGAGACACTTCATAGCAGCACAGACCATGGTCATCTCTGTTTAAATGTCCATGCTGTTGTTTACTTGGACCAGATTCACAAAGAAGGGAAATTATTTTGAGGTAAATAAACTATTCTTGTAGTTGACTTCCAGACCAGTCACTCTGTTTTCTCTTGAAACCCATGTATCAACCTAGTCTTCGTTTCCTGTATTCCTGAATCTTATCTGAGGGGTCAGAACTGTTCCCACTTCAGTTGGAGGGGAGGGCCTCCGCCGGAGAAGCAGTAATCCTGACAGCAGTTGGATAACGGTGACGGGGGCAGAGAGGCCAGAACAGTGTTGTGTGGGTGTGGCCAGTGCCCTGCTTGGCTCCTGACCCTCCCAGCATCCCCTCCCCCACAGCCTGCCCCCCGCCTACCCTTTTCCTCTGTGTCCAGTCTGAAAGCATCTGGCACGTTCCATGGTGGGACATGGGGACTTGAGTGTCCTGACTTCCACCTCCACCAAAGAAAGGGTCAGGAAAGTATTCAAAGTCATGAGTTTGAAATGCAGAACATGGTTTTGTCCCTAGTCACTGATGTTTACATCCACCAAAAGGCACTTTTTATGGGGGGGGTGGGGGGGAGTGCATCTTGGGAAGGTAGGGGTTCTTACAGCAAGATTCTAGGGCCTTGTACTTTCTTTTTCTGGTGAGCCAGTTAGTTTGATGGGCCTGTCATCAACTGGGGGTGCGTGACAGGGACCTGAAATGTATCCTGAAGCTCCATTCTTGGCTGTGCCTTAGTTCCAGATTGATTTCTTTCTCCCTCCCTCCCTCCCTCCCTTTCTAGACTATTTATTTGAGAGAGAGCAGAGGGAGAGGGGTAAAGGGAGAGATTCTTCAGCAGACTCCACACTGAGTGTGGAGCCTGACGTGGGGCTTGATCTCACACCCCTGAGATCAAGAGTCGGATGCTTAACCAACTGAGCCAGCCAGGCACCCCTAGTTCTGGGTTTCTTAATCACTCATTGCAAATGATGGTCAGATTCCAAAAGATTGGCAGCGTTTTAATCTTGAATGTTAATTCTGGGGTCAAGCTGAAGTAGTGGTCTTGGGGACAGGCGAGGGAGCGCGGGAAATAGAGACAGGGACAGAGCTGGGGAGGAGGCAAGCAGAGGATTCCCAGGGGGAGCTGGTGACACCGGAAGGGACAGTTCCTTTGGGTTCCCTGGCAGATTCCCTTGTCAGCCCCAACAGTAATTCAGGTCTGAGCTTTTAGTGTACAGATACCCACTGAACAACTTGTAAAAGTTTTGGGACAAATTATATACAAATACCAGCCCCTAAAGTGATGATTGCATCTGTGGCACATAAACTCTCTAGCTGGGAGTATTTTAATACTGGTCTCTGGCCCTGTGTTTGTTTAACTTTATTATTAAAGTAAAATGTAGACAGAGAAGATGACACGGAGCAGATGTGCAGCTGAAGGACTTGTTAGCGAGTTTGGCCGTGGCCCTGGGAAGTCCGTTCCTCCTGCGTGTGGCCTCCAAGCCCAGACTCCTCTGCCAGAGCTGCCCCGCGGTCCCACTCCTTCCTTGTTTATTCTCCTGTTACTCAAGTGTGCCTTTCCACAGGCTTGCCTGCTTTTTCTTTTCTTTTCTTTTATTTATTTATTTATTTATTTATTTATTTATTTATTTATTTATTAATTAGAGAGTGAGCGGGAGAGAAACAGCATGAGAGGGGAGAGGGTCAGAGGGAGAAGCAGGCTCCCCGCTGAGCCGGGAGCCCGATGTGGGACTCGATCCCGGCACTCCAGGATCATGACCTGAGCCGAAGGCAGTCGCTTAACCAACTGAGCCACCCAGGCGCCCGCCTGCTTTTTCTTTTGATGTATCTTTTGTGGTTTGTTTGGTTTTTTTTAATACAAATAATTTACATGAGGTTGACCTCATGTAAAGGAACTTAGTTCAGGGAAGTATTTCTCCTTTTTTTAAACACCTTTGCTGAGATATAATTTACATACCATTACAGTTCACTCATTTAAAGTGTACAAGTCGATGGCTGTCGGTATATTACATTACTAATTTTTGAAAATTGTGCTAAACTGTAACATGAAACTTGCCATTTTAACCACATTTAACTGTACAATTCAGTAGGATTAATTACATTCACAGTGTTGAGTAACTATCAGCACTGTTTCCAAAACTTTCCTCATCACCCCAGAGACTCTGTCACTGTGAAGCATCGACTCTCACCCCTTCTTTTCCCCGTGTCTCTTGTAATTCTTTAACTGGCAGGCCCCCACCCCACCCTTTTCCCCTTACAATTTATCTGTTGGAGAACCTGAGTCGTCGGCCCTGTGGCGTGTGCGCTCAGGGAGCACCGCACAGGCTTTTTGTCTGTGCTGCCTGAGAACTGGTGGTGGGGTCCAGAAGCTTCGTCGGACTCGTGTCCGTGCCTATGGCAAGACCAGGAGCCTCACTGTCTGCTTGTTTGTTGTTGTGGGAGTTATTAGCGATTGCCCAACCGGTTTTTATTTTAAATATATGAAATTAAGTGTTAGGGAGATGTTGAATTAGGCTTGTGAATAAACTTGCCCAAACTGACTTTATTTCATTCTCCTTATGTTGCACAAGCACACTATTTGTAGTAGACGTTACCGTGAGGATCTGTCCACGGCACAATCGTGTGTTTACAGAGTGAATATTTAGACAGTAACCTGTTTGCTGAACCACTCATGTCGTGTGACCGTGAGGACATTCCTTGTTTTCTGTCTGGATTCCAGCCCAGGTCGGCTTGAATGTAAGCCCTCTGCCTGCACATTGTGCTCTGATCACCCCATCAAAGACGTCCCAGGACCCCTGGCTGCTTTGCTCTCCATTGGTTCAAAATGGAACCTGGTTCACGGTATAGGAGAGCAGTTCTCACTTCCAGTAGAAGGGGAAGAGGTGTGTGTGCCAGGCAGATGCTGGTCCTCCTTAACATCCCCGTTTTCCAAGTGGTACAAGAGGGGCAGGGTGGCATTATGTAGAAGGCAGGCTTCGCGTGAAGCATGGAAATGCGTCTGTAATGAGCAAGGTTGTGGAAGCAGGAATGGGGAGAAAGCGGCCGCTCCGGGAGCTGCTGTGCAGCAAGACAGCAGGCTGTGTTCTCAGGCCCGACGGCCACCCAGTGGCTGTGCAGAGCCCAGAGCAGCCTCAGAGTCGCTAGATTCTGCATCTTGAGGAGTTTTGTATCCTGATGGGGCAGAAACAGCCTTAGAAGGACAGCCTTGGTGTTTGAGAGAGCCTCAGTCACTGTGTGGGTCAGTATCGATTTCTTTCCTGTCTCTGGCCTCCCCCAAACACCTGTTCGGTTAGGCCTGGCTTCTGCCTGCTTTCTCCTCGGCGTGGATTTCACAGTTGGACATGTGTGCCAATAACTTCAGCAGCTGTGAGTTCATTTGCAGGTTCTCCGTTGTACACAATAGTCACAAGTGGGATCCACCCACAGGCGGAGACCGGGGAAAGCCGTTTGTGCCCGTTGAGAGGGTCCTAATTTTAAAATTACTGTGTTGTTTATATTTACTATAAAATTATTAGATTGTGATGCAGTGAAACTCTGAAAATACAGAAAATCATGGAGAGAAATAGGTACTGTAAAACAATTCGGTGCTGCTTCTAGTTTTTTTTTCTTATGTCCACCCCCACACACATCTTTAAACATGATGCCATAGTCATATCTTTACTTAGCATGGGCATAGTTCATTTCAAAGCATATGTGTAAGTAAAGTATATGTGAATGAAGAGATGTAATTGTAAGCATCATAATAAGGCACCTAGTTGTCTGGAATCCCTTTGTCTAGATGTGCCGTAAAGTATCTTACTGATCCCCATGCGTAGCTTCCAGTGTTTTTATGTTGACACTGATGATCATTTCTGCGCGTTGCCTTTTTGCCCTTGAGTGACTATAAGTGTTGTCTTGATTTTGAAATTTCTTGTCAAGATGCCTTTTATTACAGTTGTTTTGGTTCCAGCATTAATGTATTTAGATAGTCAGAAAATGAGCAGTTTCTGATGACATGTTTGTCTGTTCACCCCCTTGTCCCTGCCACCCTGCTTGGCTTTCTGCTCTCCCCAGGCCACCCCCTGCCCCGTAGTCTCTTCCCCAGAAGTCTAGGTGTTTTCCTCATTGTTTACCGTATGTGTGTCTTGTTTTCGGTTCATTTTCTCATTTGCCGTCTTACCAACTTCCTTCACAAGAAATAATATAGAATAAATAAAGCTATAAAGTATATTTCTTTGATTGGATCGAATTTTCTGTTTTACTTAATTTGAAAACCAAGTCCAAGTTTTGTATTTCTCATTAAATGTTGTGTTTTCTTTGGGTCAGTGTATTTCAGTAGGGAAAAATAGGTTACAACTCCACATTTAGTGAACTGAACTGCTAGGCCTTATTTATTTATTTGTGGCGAGGGGGAGTTGAGGGAGGGAATCTCTAGCAGACTCCCCGCGTAGAGCCCGATGCGGCGTGTCGTCTCCTGACCCGGAGGTCATGACTTGAGCTGAAACCAAGAGTCAGACATTTAACGGACTGAGCCACTCAGGTGCCCCAAGGCCTTAGTCTTATAGAACAGTCTTACTCACCACTCATTTTTTTTCTGGGGAGCTCGTACTTCTTCGAGCTTCTCCTTTATGCCAGATTCTGTTCTGGGGTGCCTCGCGTATGTATTTGCTAATCCCTCACAGCAGCCTTGTGTGGTGTGTGGTGGTGTCCCACTTGTCACATCGGGGAGGAGGTGACGAGCAAGCAGACCCCTTTCTTTTGCTGAAATGCCTCTCTCCCTAGGCTGGGAACCACGACACACGACACGTGCAACGAGGACACATACAGCACCTTGCTGCAGCGGTACCAGCAATCCGAAGAGGAGTTGCGCAGGGTGGCCGAGGAGTGGCTGGAATGCCAGCAAAGGATCGATGCCTACGTCGATGAGCAGGTGAGTGTGTGCCACTGGATAAGGCTCGTGTGCCAGGCTGACAGGGGAGGTACAGGTGGAAGGAGTGTGGTCACTGATTGTGCAGGGGGACTGAGGCCCCGCGGTACCGTGGTGGCCTTGACCCAGCTATGCCATCTGGGGCTGGCAGCAGCTGTTCATTGGGTCGGCGTTGACCTGGTTACACCCAGTGTCACCTGCGTAGGCTGCCACCTGGCTTATTGTCACCTGCAAGAGCTTATGGGGTCTTGGGGAGCTGCTGAGTCCTGTAATTTCAGGAACCATTCCCAGAATGCTCTGCTGCTCACAGCCCCTTCTCTCTCTCTGTCTAGAGAGGGAGCGCAGGCAGAACAGAGTTGGTTGTGCTTGGCCCACGGCTAACAGGCATGGAGGAAGGCCCGAGAAGGCAGGGCGCTCCTGTTGGAGTTGGGGCCTGAAGGGCAGGGGCAGCTTGTCACCAAGAGCCTCTTGGGGACGCAGAGCAGGACTTCCAGAGGGCATCCCAGCCTGCCTGCCTGCCTTTCTAAAACCACGGGAGGGTGGGGCAGAGGACAAGCTATTCAAAACAGCCCTTTTCAAGGTAACAGGGTATAAGGAGTAATAAGGGAGCACTGACAGAGCTCTGTACTGTACTTTTTTTTTTTAAGATTTTTTTTTTTTTTAAAGATTTTATTTATTTATTTGATAGAGAGAGTGAGAGAACACAAGCAGGGGGAACAGTAGAGGGAGAGGGAGAAGCAGGCTCCCCGCCAAGCAGGGAGCTTGATGTGGGGCTCGATCCCAGGACCCTGGGATCATGACCTGAGCCGAAGGCAGATGCTTAATGACTGAGCCACCCAGGTGCCCCTAAGATTTTTTTTTTTTTTTAAAGATTTTATTTATTTATTTTGACACAGACAGAGAGAAAGAGCAAGAGAGGGAACACAAGCAGGGGGAGTGGGAGAGGGAGAAGCAGGCTTCCCGCGGAGCAGGGAGCCCGATGCGGGGCTAGATCCCAGGACCCCGGGACCATGACCTGAGCCGAAGGCAGACGCTTAACGACTGAGCCACCCAGGCGCCCCTTATTTGTTTATTTTAGAAGAGAGCACGGGGATGGGGGCAGTGGGAGAGAGAATCTCAAGCAGACTCTGCGCTAAGCGCAGAGCCTGACGTGGGGCTTGATCCCACAACCCTGAGATCATGGCCTGAGCTGATGCCAAGAGTTGAACGCTTAACTGATAGTGCCACCCAGGTGCCCCTCTATATTATACTTTTGAGACTCTGGGATTTGGGTCAGGGGTGTCCGCATCCTGCCCTACTGCAGACCCCGTGGACTCTTTCTCATTTCACTTTATAGGTATGATGGGTATAGATGCAATTCTAGTTTCAGAAATCCTTTCTTTGTTTCTCCAGTTGAACTGGGACTAAACACATAAATGCCCCAAGACAACTCTTAGAAGAAAGGAAAGACTGAGACTTTGCTAAAATTGAGAAAACCTTTGGGAATAGTAATTTCTTTTTTTTTTTTTTTTTTAAGATTTTATTTATTTGCGAGAGAGACAATGAGAGACAGAGAGCATGAGAGGGAGGAGGGTCAGAGGGAGAAGCAGACTCCCCGCTGAGCAGGGAGCCTGATGTGGGACTCGATCCCGGGACTCCAGGATCATGACCCGAGCCGAAGGCAGTCGCTTAACCAACTGAGCCACCCAGGCGCCCCTGGGAATAGTAATTTCTTGATGTATTTGTACCTGAAGTAAATGTCTATTCAGGAATATAATATAGCGTTATCACTGCTATTCTGACGGAAATGGGGTATGTTTAAAAATAACAGTATACTAAAAAAAATTAAAAATAGCAGTATACTTGTTTTCTCTAGGAAGGAAAATACAGTCTTACTTTAAAAAGTAAAGCTGAATGTATGGGGATTAACATAACAATAAAAAAATTGAAAAAAAAATAAAGCTGAAATTAAATTTATTTCTTTAAAAGTACATGTTCTTACAACTTTAAATGTTTACAATAAAAAGCAGGAAAGATTTTAGATCAGCAACCTAACTTGGCAACTTTTAAGGATCTAGGGAAAAAAGACAAACTAAATCCAAAGCTAGAAGGAAAGAAATAATAAAGATTAGAACAGATCAACAAATGAGAGAATAGAGGAAAATCAGAGAAACCAAAAGTTGGTTCATGAAGATCATCCAGGTTGACAAACCTTTAGCTATATGGGCTAAGAAAAAAAAGAGAGACTCTGATTCCTAAAGTCAGAAATGAAGTGGGAACATTATTACCGATTCTACAGAAATAAAAAGGATTGTCAGATTACTGTGAAGAGTTGTACACCAACTTAGATCTAAGTGGACAAATTCCTGGAAACACAGAACCTACCAAGACTACATCATGGAGACACAACGTCTGACTAGACCTACGACTAGTAAGGAGACTGAATCGGTAATCAAAAATCTCCCAAAGAGCAAAGCCCTGGACCTGATGGCTTCACAGGTGAATTCTGCCGAACATTTAAAGAAGAATTGACACCAGTCCTTCCCAAACTTTTCCCAAAAATTGAAGGGGAGAGAAACTTCCCAACTCATTCTATGGGGCCAGCCTTACCCTGATACCAAAGTCAGAGACTATAAGAAAAGAAAACTATATACCAACATCCATGATAAACACGGATGCAGAAATCCTCAACAAGGTGGCACCTGGGTGGCTCAGTCGTTAAGCGTCTGCCTTCGGCTCAGGTCATGATCCCAGGGTCCTGGGATCGAGCCCCGCATCGGGCTCCCTGCTCCGCGGGAGGCCTGCTTCTCCCTCTCCCACTCCCCCTGCTTGTGTTCCCTCTCTCACTGTGTCTCTCTCTGTCAAATAAATAAACAAAATCTTTAAAAAAAAAAAAAAAAAAGAAATCCTCAACAAAATACTAATTGGATCAATCAAAACAGCGTGGTGTCGACATAAAGATAGACCCTCTCGTGTGTGGTCACGTGATGCCCAACAAGAAATTAACTCAGGGTGGAAAAGGACCGAAACTAGAAGACCTAAAAATATGAAAGAACCTTAAAGACATTACTCTCAGTGAACTAAACCAGACACAAAAGGACACGTATTGCGTAACTCCACTTATATGAGGTACCTACAGTCGTCAGATGCCTAGAGACAGAAAGTGTAACTCATGGGGACAGGATTTCAGTTGGGGATGATGAGAAAGTTCTGGGGAGGGATGGTAGGGATGTTTGCACGATGATGTGAATGTACTTAATACCACTGCATGTACACTTAAAAATGATGAAGATGGTGGGGCACCTGGGTGGCTCAGATGGTTAAGCATCTACCTTCAGCTCAGGTCATGATCTCGGGGTCCTGGGATCGAGCCCCACATCAGGCTCCCTGCTCAGTGGGGAGTCTGCTTCTCCCTCTCCCTCTGCTGCTCCCCCTGCTTGTGCTCTCTCTCTCTCTCTGTCTTTCAAATGAATAAATAAAATCCTTTAAAAAAATGGTTAAGACAGTAAATTTTATGTTACGTGTACTTTACCACAATAAGGAAAAGGAAAAAAAGGGTCTTTTCTTTTTTTTCCCACAAAGAAAAAAAACCATCCTCCTTACTAAAGCAACCAGAAAATGTATTATTTTCACTCACCTGTCAAGAAATCATGATGCCATTAATTCAAATTAAGGAAACTGAGCAATTTTAGCAGCATCCAGAGGGCACCAGTCATTCTGGAATCCTTGGAGTGGACATCAGTCACTTCTAACCTAATAGTTTGGAAATTATTAGTAATTCCAAGGTTTCAAAACATCTGTAAATAATTGAGTATTCAGGGGCACCTGGGTGGCTCAGTCTTAACATTAAGCGTCTGCCTTCGGCTCAGGTCATGATCCTAGGGTCCTGGGATCGAGCCCCGCATCGGGCTCCCTGCTCGGCAGGGAGCCTGCTTCTCCCTCTCCCACTCCCCCTGCTTGTGTTCCTGCTCTCGCTGTCTCTCTCTCTGTCGAATAAATAAATAAAATCTTTAAAAAAATAATAATAATTGAGTATTCATGAATAAGTATGGACGTGGGACATGGGTGACAGCTTTGAGATCACTTGTTTTTGCTTGCTTTTTAAAATGTATCCTTTGTTTGTTTGACACATACATAAGCCTGCAGGCACCCAAATGTTCGGAAAAATTATCCCAGAGGATGTTGGGGGGGTGGTCAAAGAGGAGGTTTCTGTTGATGTTGTTAGGTATCAAACAGCTCTGGACTGGGTTCTGTACTAAAAGAAATTACTACCTTTCCTAATATCTAGTTCATTGAAAATCTTTTGTTTTTTAGGATTTTATCTTATTTGAGGCGCCTGGGTTGCTGAGTTGGTTAAGCGTCTGCCTTTGGCTCAGGTCATGAACTCAGGGTCCTGGGATCGAGTCCCGTGTCAGGCTCCTTGCTCAGGGGGGAGTCTGCTTCATCTTCTCACTCTCCCTCCCTCTCTCTCTCTAATAAATAAATAAATCTTGAAAAAAAATTTCCTGTTATATAAATTAAAAAAACAAACAAAAAAAAGATTTTACTTTAAATGGGCTCCATGCCCAGCCCACGTGGAGCCCAATATGGGGCTTGAACTCACGACCCCAAGATCAAGACCTGAGCTGAGATCAAGAGTTGCTCACCTGATGGAGCCACCCAGGCGCACCCCACTCCAAAATCATTTTTTAAACGTGTGACAGTAATTGCTGCTTGTAAGAGGAATATGTTTTTCCTGAAAGCGGCAGACATACATGACGTAAAGGGGGAGCTCGCACCAGCATTGAGTCTTCCCATCCCAGAAGATGGTGCACATTTCTGTGTTTGGGTCATGTTTTCTGTTCTGTCTGATGGTTTTATAGTTTGTGCGAATCTCATCAAGTTTATACCTGGGGCTTCTGGGGTTGGGGCCGTCTGGCTGTTGGCATTCCACCCAGTGCCCTTAATGACGCTGCAGACGTTTCTGGGTCAGCTGCCTCGAAGTTTCTAGAAGCCACGTCTCCTACGAGTCATAGTTTTGTCTCACCTTCTCTGGCATCTGCAGTTCGTTTGGCTTCAGTTAGAGCCTCCAGCTCATCACGAACAAGCGTAGCTAGTGGCACCGTTTGCTCCTCTGGCTTCACGGGGACAGCTGTGCATGCTTCCCTGAAGTCACATGCCTCCCCTGAGTACTGGTGAGTTTTTAGCGAAGGAAGTTTCTTTTTTTCTAGCTTATTTAACTTATGACGTTTGTAGACAGGAATAGGTATTGAGTTTGATTATCTAGTGAGACATGCTTACTTTCCTGGGATTAAAGCCTACTAGGTTATGATCTATATTCTGTTAACCCGTTATTAGATTTAAGTAGCTAATATTTTATTTAGGATTTTTGGGTTTGTATTCTGAGGCATCATTGAGTGTTTGTCTTTGAGACCTTGTCTGTTTTGTATGAAGGTTATGCTAGTCCCATAGACTGCATTGGGAAACTTCCCATGTTTTTTTTTTAATTTTCAGGAATAGTTTAAATTTTCTGTTCCATAAAGGGTTTGATAGAACCCACCCTAAAACCTGGGGCGTGATTTATTTTTGCAGGGAGGAGGAACGAGGACTATGGGTCTCGTACCATCTTTTCAATTCACATTACACTTTGCTTCTGTTTTGAGGTTTCTCCTTGAGGGAGTTCCACAAATTGATGTTTGCCTAGGAGATTGTCCACATGGTGTAGACAAGGGATGACGAGCTTGTGCTCAGAGGGGAGCCATCAAGTGGGGGGAGCGGTGGCTGCGGGAGAGCTGCTGTGCTCCCCCGGCCTGCCTCCCTGGCCCACTTTGCCAGGAGAGCACCATCTGCACCAAAAGGAGAAATGCCCTGCCCTCGGCCAGGAGGGCAGCGAAGGGCAGAGTGCCTCAGAGCTACAGAGAGGTCCACAGAAGCCAAAGTCTGGGCTGTTCGGCGAAATCCCAAGAGCTTTTTAATGTTGACTCAGCTATTAAAACGCGTTGGGCGGGCCCAGCAGAATAGCCCGTGAACCCCCTGCTCACAGCGTTTCTGTGGAGATGAAAGTCTACATTGTCCACACATTTCCTCCTGGGGTTTAAAGGAAACCCCCTCTGCCTGTGTCTGTCCTGTCTCATGCCCACTTTTTCCGTGGGGCCTTTTCTTCCCTTGGTCAGCCTAGGAGGGGCTCTGGAGACCCAGTGTTTTGGGGTTTATTGAGCATATTTGCTTCTTTATTTTCCCAATAATTTCTGCTTTTCCTTTAATTTCTTCCTGCTCATTTTGTTTTGTTTCTTTGGCTTCTCACGTGGAACATATACTTTTCAGCCTTTTGCTGTTTTCTCTCATAAGGTCACTGAAGCCTGTACGTTTTCTTCTACTTGTTGAGTACATCTTCTATAATCTAACTTGTGGGGCTTTCGTTGTCCATGATTTCCGTGGACTGTCATTTCAACTTGGATTTCTTCTCTCATAGTTTAAACTGGGTAAATTTTTTTTTTCAAATGCATGAATTTATTTTTTGAAATTACTCTTGTTTTGGAGGGTTTATTTAATACTTTCTTGCCTGTGGGATTAAATATGTCCCGCTCCCCTTTTTTTGTTTTAATAATTTGGAAGATACATATCCCATATTTCTCTTATTATTCTTAAGTTTTCAGTAACTACAAGAACACATGTAGATAAACATCAAGATTTAATCATTTCATAGCCTCCCCCACCCCAGTAAAACTATACCTTGAGCCCATTCTTAATTCCCTATTCCTCTCAGTTTGGTTTCTTTTTTAATTGTGGTAAAATACACATAACAGAAAACGTACCATTTTAACCATTTCTAAGGGTCCAGTTCAATGGTAGCAAGTCTGTTCCCATTGTGGCGCATGCCTCCGCCCTCCACCTTCCCCCACTGACCCCCGTCCCCCAGCCCCTGGCTCCTCCATCCACCTGCTGTCTCTGTGCATTTGACTCTGCCTGGGGCTTGTGGGGGTGGAGTCGTACCCCAATCTGCCCCTGTGGGCCTGGCTCCACAGGCGTGGTGTGACCGTCCACGCCAGCTCAGGCTGCTCGGGGCTTTTCCTGCTCAGTTGCGCATCTTCAGGTTTTTATCTCTGGCACAGGCAGGGCACATAATGGGCATTCAGTACAGGCCGAGTGCTCGCTGACTGCAGTGACAGATTCAGCTCTGGGATCTTCACTTCTTTTTTAAATGTGAGCTCCTCCTCGTTTCCCACGAGAGCAGAGCCTGGGAAAGAGGTGGAGCGCCAGGGCCTCGGGTCTGTGTCGTGCCTTCCCCTGTCTGCAGGGGGGAGTTTCTCACGTACACGGTTTCTGAAATCTCTCCTTGAAGACGCCTAGCTGGCTCTTGCTGGCACTAAGGTTTTGTTGTTTGCTCTCCTTCCTAGATGACAATGAAAACGAAACAGCGCATGCTGACGGAGGACTGGGAGCTTTTCAAACAGAGGCGATTCATTGAAGAGCAGGTGAGGCTGTGGGGAGGCTGCTCACCAGCGCAGGAGCGCTGCTCAGGGAAAAACACCACCGTTTCAAGGCCACGCTGTGGGTCTGCTCCTGCGAGTGTTGTTAATCCTCGATCAGCTTTCTCCCTTATCCCATTTCCTTCTTTTCTGTATTCCTCAAGGAAAATCCCATTTACCGAGTGACCCACGCCAGCCCACAGCCACCCAGGTCCCTGCTGTCTGGTCTCCTCAGAGGCAGCTGGTGCCGAGACGTCACGGAGCTTGGAGCAGGCCCGTTCCCCTCAGGCCCAATTCACAGGCCTCCCCACACGGGCCCAGTGTAGCTGCTGACAACACGGCTCACTCCCTCCTTCCCCACAGGCTCTTCCCTACCGCTCTGCACCCCGCTGTGGCTGCCCGGGGGCCTTGCCCCAATGGCCTCAGGGCCCTCGACTTTGGAAGCTTGCTTCCCTTGATTCTCTTCCATAAGCTGGCATCTCCCACTTTCTCTCCGGCCAGCTCTGCCCCGCCCCTTGGCCTTCCTCGGACATTGGTGGCCCTTGGCCTCAGCCCCCACACCCATGTGCTCACCCCTATGGTCTCCTCTGGGTACCCACACTGGGCTTGTTCACCTGCTCCCACCCCCCAACCCTTCTTCGTGGCTTCTAGCCTATCAGATGGCCCTTCTAGCACCACCCATCCCATTGCCAGAGCTGGTCTGTAGGTTTCTTCTCTGAAATCCAGATGCTGGCCTTATCGGCTGGAGGTTTGGGTGCCACTTTCCAGGTAGCTCCTGGATTTGCACCCTTCGCGTGTTGGTCCTTGTTCCTGCACTGGGTATCCTCCCCAGCTGGCCTTCCTCCCACCTGCCTGCTTCTGTCATGTGTCACAGATGCCTTTTAACTCGTGGGCACTCTGGTGCTGCATGTGTGTGTGTGTAGGCCTGTGCGCCTCCAGGCTATTCTGTCACGCACGGTGCCCCCCCACCCGCCCGAATACCCCAAGACTCCCTCCTGCTCAGCCCAGGGTCAGCCAGGCCTTCTGGAGGTGTTCCAGTGATGCCTGGCTCCGTGCTCTGCCCCTCACCTGGATGCCCTCTTTGCCTCTGACAGAGTTACTAACACCACCTCCTGTGCTTGGCCCTGCGTGGGTCTGGCGCCCTGCTGAGCTGCTTTCCTGCCGGGGCACCTCCCACGTCATGGTTTCCGGGTCCAGGGCCTGAGCTCCTGGGGGCTGCGGCTTAGCTCTGCGCTCCTGGTCCCTAGTGAGTACCGAACACACAGCTGATGTCGCCTTGGTGAGGCTCAGGCCTGCAGCTGCTGTGCATTTCAGGTCTGCCCCTTCCCGCCCTGTCCCACTCTAGGAACCTGTGGCCACTGGCTTCTGAGTGAGCACGGCACACACTACCACGATGACTGAGCAGCTGAACCACCTGCCTGGGGGTATGTCTTGCAAAATTAACCTCTCTCTTGATGATTTCCTCTAGCTGACCAATAAGAAAGCAGTCGCCGGCGAGAACAACTTCACAGACGCCATGAGGCACATGCTGTCCTCCCGGCTGAGCATGCCCGACTGCCCCAACTGCAACTACAGGAGAAGGTGAGCCTGCGCTGTCGTGTGGGCGCAGTGGGCCTGTGGGACCCACGACCTCAGGAGAGGCGCTGACCCTGACAGAGCATGGTCTGACCTCTCTTGGCTCTCTGGGTAACTGTCCTTCATTCCCACTCAGATGTGCTTGCGATGACTGCAGCCTCTCACACATCCTCACTTGTGGTGTCATGGACCCCCCCGTCACTGGCGACATCCACAGTCACCAGCTGCCCCTCCAAGTGGATTCTGCTCCCGACTATCTCTCTGAGATGCGCCCACCTAGCGTGTCCTCAGCAAGCTCAGGGTCAGGTTCCAGCTCTCCCATTACAATTCAGCAACATCCCAGACTCATCCTCACAGACAATGGCTCTGCACCAACTTTGTAAGTTGTGACTTTGTAATAAGATTTCAGAAATTTACGTAATCCAATAATGAGAAATATGGACAGTGATGTCTGCAGAAGTACAGATATCATTATAGTGCTTTTCAAGAAAAAGGATCCTTCATTTTTTAAGCACCTTTTAAAATACAAGGTCAGTAAACCCAAACTTTGACACTATTTCACTACCTGGAAAAGAAAAAAAAATACGGTAAATTTATAAATGCCAGTAAAGAAAAAACCATGTTGGTATGCAGGGAAGTGTCTCTTCCGTTCTGGCTTCACGTTTCCTCATTTTATTTGAGGGTGATCAGCCCGAAGTTCATTCCGCCTCATTGTCCGTTCAGAATTCATCCTGTTCCATGTCTTGCTAAAAACTCAGATGATCACTTTAGCAAGCGATTGAAAGGTTCTGTTTTCCGTGTTCCCACATTACCTAGAAGTACATTTTGTACGAGCGAGGTGGCTCTGCAGCTGTCGCCAGTTCACACTGTAGGTGAGTGGTCCCGCGTTTCTTGAGAGTTGTGACCCTGTCATCTGTTGAGGCTTTCCACTCTAACTTCTGGACGACGGTTGCACATGGATGTGTGTTTTTATTTTATTTAGGCAAACTTAGGTTTGCACTTGGCTTTTCGTAGAGTGTGCAGGTGTCGGGAGCCCCCTGGAGGTGACGGATGCCAGCACGGTTCCCAGTGGGAGGGATTGTTGCCCCGCCCTTGGGCTGCTCAGTGACTCTCAGGTTTCTCACCACCGCCATCTGGATTTCTCCCGACGACTCTGAGGCTTTCCTTCAGAGTCTGGCAGTCTCAAAACACAAAATAATTCCGAAGGGATTGGTCTGAACGCCATGACTGTTGAGCTCGAGCTGCTTTCTAGTCCTGGATACCCTGCGCTCTTTCTGGGAGCCTGCGAAGGAGGGTCGAGGGTTTCCCAGCTAGCTGTTTGCCAACCTCTTACAAAAACATACCGAAATTAAACAGTATGGTCTAATAAAAATTTATGTTGGAAAAGCTGCCGATGTCAGGTGTGGGCTCCTGGGCTGTGTCGAGTGGTGGAGGAAATGGGCTGTGGGCACCTTTTTCTGTGGGCCAGGATTGCCTGTGGTTGCGCTGCACCTCTCTCTGGTCCTTCAGCAGCTTGGGATTAATGTCTTCCAAACATGAACTGCGAGGACTTGAAAGCCTCCACGGTTGCCTTGTGGTGTCATGTTATCTCTTGGTTTGTGTTACCTCTTTCTTGGTGTCATTACTAAATTGGTTAAAGAGGACCGTGCGACTGGAGCCTCCATACTAAGGGCTCTGTAGTTTTCATGGGCTCTAGGGGAGATGAAGCTTGCCTTCATTACCTTGAGCAAATGATTTAATCACTTCATGTCTGAACCTCGGCCTCCTCATCTGTGAATCGTGGTTGTGGTAATGTTGCAGGAGTGGGTGTGAGTGTTGACCAAGGCCACAAGTTCCATCACCTCAGGTGCCAAAGGCCTCAGGAGACCTGAGCAGCCTTCACCTGGAGGGTGCTGTGGGTGCTAACTTTGGTGAGCTCCAGATTACAGCATATTGTGTTCCCTCCTTTTCCAAAAATGGAAAGGACATCTGAGTTTAGGAATTCTGGACACTCTCCTAAATCCAAGAGATCACTAATTCATAAGATTTTTCCTTCTGGAAGTTATTGTATGCGGAGCTGAAGATGGGCTCAGAGGCATGTTTATGGTCACAGCGGGGTGACCACATATGGTCCGTGCCTTGCACAGTCTGCACTGATGTGGGGACTCTGTGCCCGCCCTTTTATGCACCAGAAAAGCGTATGTTTGAAGTGGCCTTCGTGGGCTACAGACTTGAAATTTGCCTATTTTTTTTTTTTTTAGTAAATATTCCATTTGCCCATTGTTTAGATGTCTTGTTAAAGCTGATAATTATGATCATGACTGACTTGTCGAGATCTGGCCTTGTAGTAAAAACCATTTAGTATTCTGTCACCTACGTGCCTTTAAAGTTCTGTTCATCTGGCTACGTCTGAAATTTTGGTGGCTCTCTGTACCCCCTTTAATTTTAATAAAAAAATTAATTGTGTCTGCTTGGAAATGGCAGCCAACAGTTATATACCAAGGCACTTCAAGCCAAATGGAAATGCAATAATTAATCCGATTAAATTTTGGCAGTTTCCCAGATTATTTTTCTTCTTTTGGCGTTTTGTTTTCCATTCTTCTAAATAGCACAAATGGTAATCTTTCAGGCATTTTCCCCCGGTGTTCAGGTTACTAAGAGACGTTACAACGTATGCGCGGTGCTTAGGGTAATACTCTTGTAAACCAGAACAGTGTCTGTAAAGGAAATGTCTGTGCTTAGTGGGTGGTTCACTTACTGTCTCCCCCCCTCCACCGGGTGAACAGCCTCCTGGTGACCATCTCTGCCTGTCTCAGTTGTAGTGATGATGAAGACGTTGCGCCATTGTCAGCTAAATTTGCTGATATTTATCCACTGAGTAACTACGATGATACTGAGGTGGTGGCCAATATGAATGGAATCCACAGCGAATTGAATGGTGGCGGGGAAAACATGGCTCTGAAAGATGAGGTAGGGGCACGACTTCTTCATAGTGACAATAAATGGCATAAAGTGGTGTTCTGGTGTCTTATTTTTTAAAATTCTTCCATTTTGAAAAGTATAAATTACAAAGGTTGTTTTTAAAGTCCCCTCAGGTAAGCAGTACCAGTAGTAGTTCTTCAGAGGCTGATGATGAAGAGGCGGATGGCGAGAGCAGTGGGGAGCCGCCAGGAGCCCCAAAGCAAGACGTAGCTCTAAGCAATGGGAGTCCCAGGAAAGAGGAAAGTAAAGTGGACAGTCCACCCCCATCTTACCCTACTCAGCAGGTACGATCTCATTCTCCCGAACTTTGTGCTTTGCCAAGGGTGTCTTTCTTTGTGTATATTTTCTCTAAAAGTGAGTGTTATTGAATGCAAAATTACGTTATCTTGAATAGCTTCTGAAGATTAGAACTGGAGAGGATTGAGGCATGCTTATAAAATACACAGACATGATTCCTAACCCCGTTTTCATCTTGTTCCTCTCACTTGAATCCACTCGACAGTCTTGATTTTGCAGCACCCCAGAGTCACTCCAGACATTTAGCTGTAGTAGAGGTATTTTTTGTCTGTAAAGAAGCAAAGGGACGGTTTTTTTTAATAAATAATGGAATGTTAAAATTTCAGAAAAGGTTGATTTTGTAAGGGAGGTTTTTTTCTGGTGGATCTCTGTTTTTCTGTTAACCAAAGGTGAGAGTACATCAGGAGGTGACTGTTTTCTCTTAGAGACTCCTAGTTTTATAAATAGATGCTCACGTAGTTCTCATTTTTTTTTTTTTAAGATTTTATTTATTTATTTGAGAGAGAGCATGCACTTGAAAGGGGGGGCAGAGGGAGAGGGAGAAGCAGGCTCTGCCCTGAGCAGGGAGCCCGACGTGGGGCTCGATCCCAGAACCCCAGGACCATGACGTGAGCCGAAAGCAGACACTTAACAGACTGAGCCGCCCATGCGCCCCGCTCACATAGTTCTTAAATAAAAGGAAGAACAAATGAAGGTTGGGGTGCTTGGCTAATTATTTTCCTTAATAGGCAGTATAGATCCATAGTTAAACAAGAAAGGCGACATGAAAAGGTATTCCCTTGAGAAGTCTGGCCCTGGCGTCCTTCACCATCTGCCCTGCCCAGCACCTACCCATCCCCAGTTCTAGTCCCAGTAGGTAACCAGTCTGCCTTATTAGTGTGTCCTTCTGGTGTTTGTTTATGCAAATGCTCATATTTATTCTTCCCCTTTCCTATGACAAGGCTTATATTAATGCACACTCAGTTTCCCTTGCTTTTTCTCTCACCCTTATATCCTGACTGATTCTGTACGGAGCGCACTTCCTTGTCCTCGTCTCCTGCCCTCTCTGAGTGCCGGCAGGTGGACATACTAGAATTCTCTTTTTCTTTTTAGTCCCTGCTCATGGGCACTTGCATTTGCTTCCCTTTGTTTTCCCTATATGCTATTCAGTGAGCAACCTTATACATCTGACCTTTCCTACATTAGTAGGTCTGTTCCTAGGATTGGTCACCAGTGGTGGCTTCTCTGGGTCAGAGTGTGATGGCCTCCCCTGCCCCCCAGAAGAGGATGACATCACAGTCCTGGGGTTTGGCCAGTCTGGTGAGAAATGGCAGCCCCTTGAGATTTGTCTTCCTTTCATTTCCCATTCCATCTTATTGTTGAGGTGTCAGACTTTTTTATATGTTGTTGTAAGTCCTTTATAAGTATGTGATTTGCAGAGATTTTCTCTGGGTCTGTGGCATGTCTATTAGTTGTGTGGGTTTTTTCTGTTTTTTTTTTTTAAGATTTTATTTATTTACTTATTTGAGAGAGAGAAAGTACATGCACGCATGCACACAGGGGGAGGAGCAGAGGGAGAGTTAGAATCCCAAGCTGACTCCTTGCTGAGCACAGAGCCTGACTGGGGGCTCGATCTCACAACCCTGAGATCACGACCTGAGCCGAAACCAAGAGTCGGATGCTTAACCGACTGCACCACCCAGGCGCCCCTGTCTGTTAGGTTTTTTATGGTATTTTTTTGAAAAGCAAAAGTTCCTAATTCTGGTGAATTCTAGTTCCTCGGTTTTTCCTTTTATGAATCGTGCTTTTGATGTCATATCCAAGAAAACTCTGTTTTCTTCTACAAGATTTACAACTTCAGCTCTCACTTGAGGTGTGGTTCATTTGACTCAGTTTTTGCTCATGGTGTGACGTGAGGGTCTATAGTCATCTTTTTACAAAAGACGTCCAGTTGTCCCAGCACCATTTGTTGACAAGACCCTCTCTTTTCCTACTGAATTGCATCAGCCGTTTGTTGAAAATCACAGAGCTCTAAATGCAAGTGTTTATTGTCTGCACTTTGCACTCTCTGCTCATTTGGCCTGGGTCCTTTCCCATAGTGTACGTGACCTGCTCTGTAGTAAGTTTGGACAGCAGGTAGGGTCTGCCCCCCAGCTTGGTGGGCCTTATTGAAAATTATGCAGGCTTTTCAAAGTCCTTTGTGTGTCCATGTAAGTTTTAGAATCAGCTTATTCTACAAAAAAGCCTGCCTGGATTTTGATAGAGATTATATTTCTTGAATTTACTTGATAGAATTCACCAGCAAACTCCTCTGGGCCTACTCTTTTCTTTGTGGGATGATGTAGATCAGTTTGGGGAAAATACTGTCTTAACAAAATTGAATCTGTCAGTCTAGGAATGTGCTGTATCTTTCCATTTTAATCATCATTAATTTCTTTCAGCAGTTAAAAAAATTTCTAGCCAGTAGGTCTTAAACATATTTCCTAAATTCTTTTTTTTTTTTTAAGATTTTATTTATTTGAGAGAGAGAGAGCACAAGCAGGGGGGAGCAGCAGAGGGAAAGGGAGAAGCAGATTCCCCGCTGAGCAAGGGAGCCTGATGCAGGACTCGATCCCAGGACCCTGAGATCATGACCTGAGCCTAAGGCAGACATTGAACCAACTGAGCCACCCAGGCGCTCCTTCTTAAATTCATTCTTAAGTATTAGATGTTTTTGATTCCGTAGTAAATGATATTTTCTAATTTCAGTTTTCAATTGATTGTTGGTAATATATAGAAATACAGTTGATTTTCAAATATTTGTCTTATGTTCTGCAGCTTAAACTTGTTTGTTCTTTGGTCTCTCCCCCACCCCTCCCTTTTTTTTTTTGGTTCGAGTCCTTTGGATTTTCTACATGCAAGATCATGTTGTTTGTGAATAAAGACAGTGTTACTTTTTCCTTCTCAACCTGGATATTTTTAATGTCTTACTCTTGCCTGCCTGAGCTAGCTAGAACCTCCAGCACAGCACTGCGGAGAAGCAATACAAGCACCCGTCTTTGCCTTGCTCCTGGTCCCAGGAGGGAAGCATTCAGTCTGTGAATAGGATGATGCATGTTTGCCATGGATGGTCTTAACCACACTGAGGAAGTAAATCCTGTCAACTCATTTCCTCGGAGTTTTATCATGAACGTGTATTGGGTTCTCCAAATGCCTTTTCTGTGTCTATTAAAGTGTTCCTGTGGTTCTCATCCTTCGTTCTTTTACTGTGGTGTGTTGCATCAAGTGATGCTTGGGTTTGTTGTTTTTTTTTAAGTTGACTCCATGCCCAGCGTGGAGCCCAGTTCAGGGCTTGAACTCACGACGCTGAGATCAAGACCTGAGCTGAGATCAAGAGTTGGCTGCTTAACTGGCTGAGCCACCCTGGTGCCCCTGATTCTTGGATGTTAAGCCAACCTTGTGGTCCTGGGATAAATCCTATTTGGTCATGGTGTATAAACTTTTTTTTTCTTTTGATATGTTGCCGGATTGGTTTGCAACCTTTGGTTAGGATTTTTGCATCCATGTTAATAAAAGATACTGTTCTGTAGTTATCCATGCTTGTAGAGTCTGTGGCTTCGATATCAGGGTAATACTGGCCTCGTAGAATGAGTTGGGAAGTGTTAATTCTGCCTCTATTTTCTGAAAAAATTTGTCTAAAATGGAGATTTCTTTAGTAGTTGATAGAATTTACCAGTGAAATCCATGGGCCTGGTCTTTTCTTGTGGGAAGATACAGAATTACTAATTGAAATTTTGTTTACTTGTTATAGGTTTATTCAGATTTTCTATTTCTTTTTGAATTTAAAAATTTTATGTGTTTTCCCCCATTTCATCTACATTTTTTATTTGATGGCATGGGATTGTTTATTGTATTCTTTTATGATTCTTTTAATTCTGCAGGGTCTGGAGTGATGTTGATTCCTGACTTGGGTAATTTTGTCTACTTTTTTTTAAACCCTCAATCTAGCTAAAGAATTGTCCATTTTTGTAAAAGAAAAAAATGGGTTTTGTTAATTTTTTCTCTGTTTCTCTCTTTATTTCTTTGATTTCTATTCTGATCTTCATTATTTCTTTCCATAGACTTTGGGTTTGGTTTGTTCTTCCCTTTCTAGCTTGTTGAATCTAAGCTTAGATTACGGATTTTAGAACTTCTGAATTTACTGAGACCTGTTTTGTGGCCTAACATCTGGTCTGTCCTAGATAATGTTCTATATATACTTGAAAATAATTTGTGTTCTGCTCTTGTTAGATGGAGTGTCCTGTGAATGAAAGTTTGGTCAAATTATAGCATCATTCCAGTTCTCTGGATCCTTCCTGATTTTCTGTCTGGTTCTAAAAATTACCGAGGGACATACTGAAGTCTTCACATATCACTGCTGAACTGTGTGTTCCCTTTTCAGACCAGCCAGATTTCGATTCATGTGTTTGGGACGGTGTTGTTGAAGGTGTATATGTGTGTTATTGTTACCCCTTCTTGATAAGTATTGACTCTTTTGTCGTTATGAGATGCTTCTCCGCTAGCTCTTCTCATCCAGAAAGAGTATTTCATCCCATGTACAGAGTCGCTCCTGCTGCCTTAGGATTACTGTATGCATGTTATCTATTTTTTCATCCTTTGAATTTCAGCCTCTTTGTGTCTTTGAATTTAAGATTGGTCTTTGAATCCTTTAGTTGGGTCTCGTATTTGTGTCTTGTCGATCGATCTCTGCCTTTTCTCTGGAGGGCTTCATTTATGGTTTAATGTAATGATCACTATGGTATGTGCAACTGGCACTTTGCTCTATTTCCATAGGTCTCATGGTTTTTGTTCCTCTGTTCCTCCTTTACTCCTTTATTTTTTTTTTAATTTTTTTTAAAGATTTTATTTATTTATTTGATAGAGACAGTGACAGAGATAGCGAGAAAGAGCACAAGCAGGGGGAGAGGCAAAGGGAGAGGGAGAAGCAGGCTCCCTGTGGAGCAGGGAATCGGACGTGGGGCTCGATCCCAGGACCCTGGGATCATGACCTGAGCCGAAGGCAGACGCTTAACGACCGAGTCACCCAGGCACCCCTACTCCTTTATTTTGTATTAAAATATTCAGTGCACCATTTAAATTCTGCTGTTCTTTGGTCTTTTTAGTTTGGGGTTTTGTGGTGGTTTGTTTTGTGTATGTGTGTGCCATGGTATTTCTTTTTTATTATTATTAACATATAATGTATTATTTGTTTCAGGGATACAGGTCTGTGGTTCATCAGTCTTAACAAGTCACAGCGCTCACCGTAGCACATACCCTCCCCAATGTCTATCACCCAGCCACCCTATCCCTCCGACCCCCCTCCACTCCAGCAACCCTCAGTTTGTTCCTGAGATTAAGAGTCTCTTGAATGGTTTGTCTCCCTCTCTGGTTTCGTCTTGTTTCATTTTTCCCTCCCTTCCCCTATGATCCTGTCTTGTTTCTCAAATTCCTCTTATCAGTGAGATCATATGATACTTGTCTTTCTCTAACTTATTTCGCTTAGCATAATACCCTCTAGTTCCATCTACATCGTTGCAAATGGCAAGATTTCTTTCCCTTTTTTGATGGCTGCATAATATTCCTGTGTGTGTGTGTGTGTGTGTGTATGTGTATACACCATATCTTCTTTATCCATTCATCTGTTGATGGACATCTTGGCTCTTTCCACAGTTTGGCTATTGTGGACATTGCCACTATAAACATCGGGGTGCACGTACCCCTTCGGATCACTACGTTTGTATCTTTGGGGTAAATACCCAGGAGTGCAATTGCTGGGTCGTACGGTGGCTCTATTTCCAACGTTTTGAGGAACCTCCATACTGTTTTAGTTTGTTTTTAGGGCTGCTAGGAGTTGGGACTGGGAAGAGTCCCAGGCAGGAAGGCCAGGCCCCCTCTGCTCTTGCCTGATATTCTGGCAGATTGGCATGAATAAATACTTCTTGATTTGCTTTTTCCCTTTGATTTTCAGATCCTCAAATGGTTGCTTTGACCGTTGCTTTCAGTTTTACCCTTGTTTTAAGGGAGAGGAGCCACTGACTGCTTCATGTCACCCTCGATGAGTCCCGTCTCTGGTGCCTCTCACAGCATCTCCATGTAACCACTCATGAGCTGCGTGACCCCGCAGAGCCCACACCAGAGCTCCGTCCTCCTCAGCCCGGCTCCCCCCTCCCCTCGGCCACCCTTGCCAGTCCCCTTGTCCCTGCACAGACAGGCACAGGCACAGATGGGTGTGGCTACCACCTCAGTAGACACCTGGCCGGGGAGCAAGGTGTGCATCTCTTGTCTCTGTCCCAGGCTCCTGGAGTCCCTTCTGTACTTTACAGGGAGGGCTCTGGACAACTCGAGGTGTCCCATGAGCCCTGTCCTCTTTGTAGTGGCCACGTAACTGCTCAGCAGAATGTGACTGACTTTAGTTTAATTCACACCATTCTTTGTTTCACTAAATAAGCAGGTACTTTTTTTTTTCTCTTCTTTTAGCCTGAACAAGCTCCGAACACTTGTGAATGTCATGTTTGTAAACAGGAAGCTTCCGGACTCACGGCATCAGCAATGACCGCAGGAGCCCTTCCCCCGGGCCATCAGTTCCTGAGCCCAGAGAAGCCCACCCACCCTGCTTTGCATCTTTACCCTCACATCCACGGACATGTGCCTCTGCACGCGGTCCCACACCTGCCCCGTCCTCTCATCCACCCCACCTTGTATACGGCGCCCCCCTTCACACACAGTAAGGTAAGTCAGGGCAGAGAGGGCCTGGAAGCTCACCTGTCACTAAGATCTTATAAGAAGTGCATATTGTAACAAACAAAAATCCATAAATTGGCAACTTGGATAGGACCAAGTCTGCTCTTGATAGGAAGGTCTGCAAATGTCTCCTTTTACCGTAATCTTAAGCTCTCAGAATTTTGAACCTTCACAGCTGTAAAAACAATCACGAAAGTCATGGTTTACCCCTTCAGAATTAGCTAGAACATAAAGAGTTTTCCAAGTGATGGTATAACGGGTTGTAGTTGGGGGAACTGCACACCGAGCCCTTCTGCTCACCCAGACACCAGTTCACTTCTTTCCTCACGGCCTCCTGGGGCCTGGCTCTTTTTCTTAATGTTGCCTGGGTAAAATGTGGAGAGTACAGCACGAGTCCTCTGATACTCGCTGGGCTCTATAGTGTCTGAAATGATTACGCTCTCTAAGCACGAAAACGAAGGGCTCGCCGAAATGCAGAGGCTGAAAGGAGGAATCCTAAGCGTAACGGAGAGAAGGCCGCAACGCCGTGCAGGCTGTTGGGAGGCGGCTGCCAGGCACAAAGGAAAGGGCCTCCCAGACCAGTCTGTTCAGAGAAGTGAGCATGTAGAAAAGGTTTGCTTTTTATGTAGTTCTTCTCAGAGAACCCCATACTTATATTTTCGTAGCTTAAACTTTGCAGTGAAATTTTTAGTTTTCCCCAAACTCTACAGATTTATTATTTAAAATAAAAGTGATTCTCAGCTGGGAGGAGGACATGGGATGAAAGGGGCTTTTTCAGACTATAGGAACATTTTCTTTCCCCAAGGGGCGTTTGCTGTGAAGTGGGGTGTATATAGCCCATCAGTGGGCTTTGTTGTTTATTTGCTGGGGAGGGGCATCTAACCACTGATTTAGAATAGAATAGAATCAGTTTGTCATGTTCTATTGTAGTAAGTACTTGGAAACTGCCCACATTTATGCTTAAATTTTATTAGATTGAATATCGCTCAGTTTGGACATTTAATGATGGCTTTATTAATAGAGTGATTTGAAATACCGTTTTTCCAGTGTGTATTCAAAGCCAGGCTATCTTCGTGGTCTGCTTGGTCTCTATAGCCTCTTTCCCTCTGGGTGAATGTACGGGTAGGGAAGCTGTCCATTCTGAATACAACTGCTTTCTCCTCCCTGGGAGCCACCTCTAGGAGAGAGTAGAGAATGTTGTTATAATGCCTTGCTGGTAGAAACTATTCAAGAATCAGTTCCTAAGCATCTTTAAGTAAAGTAGTGAAATTGATTATTACAAAAGACTGTTGGGACACTGCAGTTAAAAGCTGATTTCCACACCACACCCCTCCCCCCCCCCCCCCCCCCGCCGACATTTGGCCTTTTCTCAGGGCATTATAGGTAGTCCATAAAAGGGTAAAGGAGAAGAAAAATATTCTGGGGGAGTATCATCTGTATATAAAATCTATGTATTTTTTTTTTTTTTAAAGATTTATTTATTTATTTGAGAGAGAGTACATGAGAGGGGGGAGGGTCAGAGGGAGAAGCACGCTCCTCGCCGAGCAGGGAGCCCGATGCGGGACTCGATCCAGGGACTCCAGGATCATGACCTGAGCCAAAGGCAGTCGCTTAACCAACTGAGCCACCCAGGCGCCCCTAAAATCTATGTATTTAATACCTTCTAAACTTTAATTCAGTAGATAGATGTGGAGGATTCATGGGTAGAAAGGCAATTGCAGAGAACAAGCTAGTGAGCTTTTATTTCAGTCACTTTGCTGTTGATGTCAGGACTGTTCACTGATGCATTTATTTTATTTTATTTTTTAAGATTTTATTTATTTTTGCAAGAGAGAGAGAGAGCAGGGGGGAAGAGCAGAGGCAGAAGCAGGCTCCCCGCTGGGCAGGGAGCCCAGTGCTGGACTCGATCCCAGGACCCTGGGATCATGACTTGAACCAAAGGCAGACACTTAACTGACAGAGCCACCCCGGCACCCCACTGATGCATTTAAAATACATTAGCTAGATGCCACATTTATTTAGAAAAATGAGATGCATTTGGCAAAATACTTCATTTGAATCTGGTATAAAAATGTTTGTTTCTCGGGTGCCTGGGTGGCTCAGTTGGTTAAGCGACTGCCTTCGGCTCAGGTCATGATCCTGGAGTCCTGGGATCGAGTCCCGCATCGGGCTCCCGGCTCGGCGGGGAGCCTGCTTCTGCCTCTGACCCTATCCCCTCTCATGCTGTTTCTCTCTCTCTCTCAAATAAATAAATAAATAAAATCTTTAAAAAAAAAAAAAATGTTTGTTTCTCTAGACAAGCTTGCACTGTTACTCGCCAGGTCTTCCAAAATTAGTTTGTGTTACTTGAGTTAGTTTGCCTTAGTTGCATACTGTGAGTACATGGTGTACCTGATGCGTGGTGTGTTCACAGCTCCATAGGAGTTGGTAGACGCCCCTTCTAGAGAACGCACTCACTTGTCTTCAGTTATGTCAGAGCCGGCTTGTTCAGTGGGATCCCCCACATGTGGCTGGGAGGCACAGCTGGGTGCTGGACGCCGAGGGCAGCTGTGCACGTGGAGCTCGGCTGCTTCCGTGTTTGTGTTCAGGGATTTTTGCTCTGGTGAGGTGGCATTTGTTGCCTTTAGGACTGTATGTCATTGTAGTTCTAATTCTTTTAATTCATACTCTGGCCATTGTGGGTAAATATTTACTACTTAAAATGCTTGGGATGAATAGTATAGAAAAAAATTTTTTTGAACTTAGAATAACTTGAAGACCGTTTTTGTTTTCAAATGTCTTTGTACCAGTGATACATTTAATTTGTATGTTGAGATACAAGTTATTTGAAAGTTAAAAATAGTTACAGGAGAGACATACAGTAATGAGATGCTAGACAAAAATTAAAACTGTATGGCAAGGAATTTTATTTGCAAATATTTGGGGATTTCCCAGCTGTCTTTTTGTTACTGATGTCTACTGTAATTCCACTGTGGTCCGAGAGCAGACATTGTGTGACTTTTGTTCTTTTGGATGTGTTCGTGTGCTTGGTGGCCAGAACGGGGTCTGTCTTGGTGAGTGCGCCAGGTGAGCTTGAGAACGTGCGTGTTCGGCTGTTGCTGGATGAAGCAGGCTGTACTCAAACACCATGTGCAGGTGACTGACGGTGCTGCTGAGTCCAGCGATGTCCTTCCTGACCTGCTGCTGGATCTGCCCGCTCCTGACAGAGGGGTGTCGGAGACCCCAGCTTCAACAGCAGACTCTCCTCCTCCTCCTGCAGTCCCGTCAGTTTTTGTCTCACGTAGTTTGGGCACCGTGTTGTTCAGTGTTTACATGTTTAGGATTGTTATGCATTCCTGGGGAATTGACCCTTCCGTCATTATGGAATGCCCTTCTTTATCGCCGATAATCTTCCCTGCTCTGAGGTCTGATGTGTCTGAAATTAATACAGCTGCTCCAGCTTTTCATTAGCACTAGAACCACATCTCTTTTTCCATCTCTTTACTTTTAACTTAAAGGGGTCTTTATACTCCTGGTAGGTTTCTTGTAGACACCTCTAGGTGGGGCGTGGGTTTTTTGTTTTTTTTTTTAAGATTTTTATTTATTTGACAGAGAGAGACACAGCGAGAGAGGGAACACAAGCAGGGGGAGTGGGAGAAGGAGAAGCAGGCTTCCTGCGGAGCAGGGAGCCCGATGTGGGGCTCGATCCCAGGACCCTGGGACCATGACCTGAGCCGAAGGCAGACGCTTCACTGACTGAGCCACCCCAGGCGCCCCTTGTTTTTTTTAATATACTCTAATATCAATTTCTGTCTTCATTTTTATATTTAGACTAGCCACATTTAAAGTGATTTTTGATGTGTTTAGGTTAATAATCACCTTTGTTCTGTTTTCTCTTCATTACCAGAGGCTTCCTTTTTCTGCCTTCTCCACTTTTAATCAAGCGTTTTCTGATTCTGTTTTATCTCCTGTCTTTAGCATATTGCTTATGCTTTAAACAGTTGCATTAGAATATGCATTTTAACTAATCTGAGTCCCCCTTCAGATAACAGTGTTCTGCTTCGTGTTATGTGGGTACCTTTTCACAGAGTGTGACCTTGCTGCTGCTCTTCTCCTGTGTCTGTTCGTTAGTGGCCCCGGTACCTTGTTACTGCTCCTACCGCACATGGTTATCCTGTGGGTCTAGTAGTAGTCAGGAATAAGTCCACGTGACTCGCATTCATTCCTTCCCCATCGCCCTCCCTTTTTTCATGCAGATCCAGGTTTCTGACCTCTGTCGTTTTCCCACTGTCTAAAGAAAACATCCGCACATTTCTTGCAGGGCAGGTCTGCTGGGGAGGAGTTCCCTCAGTGTGTGTTTGTCTGAGGAGGTCTTTATTTCTCCTTCACCTTTGAAGGATAATTGCACTGGATGCAGAATTCTAGGTTGGTGGGGTTTTTTTCTTTCAACACTGTAAACAAATTTCCCTCCACTATTATCTTAGTTGCATGGTTTCTGACCAGATGTCCTCTCTAATTCTTCAGGGCTACCCTCCCCTTCCTCCCCTCTCCCCCCCTTCCCCAAGGCTGCTTTCAAGGTTTTTTGTCTTTGGTTTCCTGCATTTTTTTTATGAAATGCCTAAGTGTAGATTTGGGAGTGTTTTTTACCTTTTGGTATTCTCTGAGCTTCCTGGATCTGTAGTTTGGTGTCTGTCATTAATTTTGGAAAGTTCTCAGCCAATATTCCTTCAAATATTTCTTCTTTCTTTTCTCTTTCTTCTCCTTCTGGTATTCCAATTCCTGTTACTATCTTTTGAAATTGTCCCATACCTCTTGGATGTTTTGTCCTATTTTGTGTCCGTGGTGGTGGTTTTTTAGTTTTGGCTGTTTTTTTTTCTTAAATTCTCATTTCTCTTTGCATTTCAGTTTGAGGAGTTTCTTTTGACATGTCTTGATGCTCACTGATTCTCCCTGCCCCATCCACTGATGATTAGTTCATCAAAAGTGCTCTTTGTTTCTCTTAAAGAGTG